AATAAATATATTGATGTAGATGGAAATATGCATATATGGAAGCAAACACTGTGTCACACACGCATATTGCTCTTCAACCAAACTGAATTGAGCTCTCCAGGCCATTGACATATTTTGTGGATGACTATATATATATATATATATATATATATATATATAATAATAATAATAATATTTTTTGTTTAAAAATATGATTCCTCTGCCAAAGCTCAACTTCTGTATGGAGCACTGTCTTCTTAAAAATAAAAACAAAATACTAAGGAACTCCGGATTATGTACCCAACGTGTTCTTTTCTATTTTCTGCATACCTGCGCACTTTATATATATATATATATATATATATATATATATATATATATATATATATATATATATTTTGTTGGACATTTTTTACTCAGGCCTTCTCAAAAGTCTGTTAGACTAGAGAACTAATTGGTCTAACTTCAGCATGCTCAGCCTATGATATGTTGGAAAGGGTTTAAATTCAGAATTGTCCCTATCCAAACCTGCTTGTCTTACTAAGCATATATACTCCCATTTGCTCTATTAATTTAGGAGAGAAGATATAAATCTATACTCTTCCTAAAGTTGTTAGTGTGAATTGAATGCAACAGGTTCAGCTTTAATTTTAATTTCATTTTGATGACACCCTTTTATATAATATCCCATAATTTCTGAAATTCCTCCTTCTGTATATGACTTAGCCAAAACTTTAAAGCAATGAATCCTACCATAATTCCACTAGTTAATTTCTTTAAATACTGCACTCAAATAAAACTAATAATAGTACTATTGCCTCTTTAGATGTTGAAAGTCTCATTACCAATTTCCCTATCACAGAAATTATAGATAGCATAATACAAAATGTATCAATATTTAAATTATGCAATGGACAGTTTTCAATCTCCACCTGAAACTGAGACTTGTACTACTGGTGAGGAAAAAATAAATATTTATTATTAATATAGATATTTTATTTTTCATAGAACTCGACATGTGCTTATTCAATTATAAACTTTTGAATGAAGATTTATCAGAAAATGAACATAGGAAAACTGAAATTTTCACAAATATTTCTAGTCTATTATAAAAAAAAAAAAGTTTAAAATATCTATCATTACCAACAACTATGTATATTTCTGAGATGAGGTATTCTAACTATTTACACTCTTTGGACTGTTGTCCTTATCTTTACTGTCACAAGTTTGTGTAAGTGGATGGCGGAACAGGGTGCAGGAGGAAAGGTGAAAAAACAAACCTTACTAAGAATAACTAAGGATAGAGAGCCATAGTAGAGATAGTAGAGAGCCATGATTGCTTATGTCATGAAGGGATATAGTACATAGAACAACAACAACATAGGATTATCTTATCAAAGAAGCTAGATTAACTATCTGTCTATAGTTATGAGATGAGGTATTAAGTACACTATTTACATTATTTGGACCATTGTCCTCATCTTTGTCACCATATTTATTACAATGTTTCGGCCATTGTATGCTCTGGCCTTCTTCAGTTGGTTGGAATGTCGAACCGAACCCTTTATTTCACTCGCTGGTGTAGATTGTTCTGGTTTCACGTGCCATGTTTAATGTATGTTATTTATCAGTAATCTCCTGTTAATTCACCTCTCCAAGTTCTCCACTGCCTTAACCAGGTATTGAACTCTCACCTCTTTGGGCCTTGTCACTGGATCTAACTAACGCATTTATCCACTGCGTCTTAAGGATTAGGTGGTTGGAATGATGAACTGAACCCTTTTTTTTTCGCTCGCTGGGGTAGACTGTTCTAGTTCCACATATCATGTCTAATAGATGTCAGTTATCAGTTATCTTGGAGAGGGGAATTAACAGGAGATAACTGATAACTGACATCCATAAGACATGGCATATGGAACTAGAACAGTCTGCTCCATTGAGTAAAATAAAGGGTTCAGTTCGACATTCCAACCACCTGAAGAAGGCCAGAGCATAGAACAGCCAAAGCGTAGTAATATGGTAACAAAATGAGGACAATAGTCTGAATAATGTAAATAGTGTAGATTAACCATATATAGAAGAATACTTTTTTTAATCATTTCACCCTAAATAAGACAATAATAATACTAAGATGCAAGGGGCTACTGAGAGTGAAAGAAAATGAAATGTTAATGAGAGGAACGGACATTTTTAAAAGAAAAGGATTCAAATAGACAAATATGCATTTAAGTTTTTGAAAATTGAAGAAGAAAGAAACCAGAAAAGAGTTCCACAGTCAAGAAATGTGAGGGAAAAGAAACTTCCCCTTCCTTAAAATCTCAGTAAACCTCTAACTTGAGTGTCCTTTGGGCCTGCTACTCAGTAAATTTTCAAAAAATAAAAAAAAAAATAAAAAAAAATAATTGTGATATTTCAACAGTAAAATGATGTGACCTAACTGGCAATCTAGTACTGTGTTTAAATTCATGTGGTCACAGTACCAAAGAGGTTCATGGTTACAAAGAGAGAGATAGCATTGATATATGATTTAAGATGAAACATTTTTGCCCTCATTTAAGTGCATTTCTACATATGGCTACTTTATTTATAACTACTTACAAATGGAAAATATTTAATTAAATATACACTAGAAAAAAATGATGAGCATTTTGCAGTTTTATTTTGATATTAGAGTGATACAGCATAAAAGGAAAGAAAAAATCTCCAGTGTTCAACTGAAAAAAATTAATGAACACATTCTGAAGATATCTTTTAAAGAAATTTTTAGATGAAGCAATTTTCTTGGTATTCAGTCTGTTTTTCACTTCAAATTATGCATAAGTAAATTTGAATAATTTCTTGCAGGGAGAACTTGAAAATGGAACAAAATTAAAACAAAAATAATAAGTAAATATAAAAGATAGTAAATAAATAAGGCTAAAAGCAAATATGACTGTTGGAATAGATAAGTATAAAAATCATAAATGTAAATTGTTTGGGAAAAATACATAGTAAACTGCAGAAATGGTTACCAAATTCAATTATTAGTTATTATATCTAATAAAATAACTATTTGGTTCCAATACCTTCATAATTTTAATAATTTTTGATGAAATTCTTTTCATGTGTACCTATTTACACCTGACTACTTCTTTCATCTTATTTTTAAGAGTTGCTGTAACAGAGGACAAAAAGTGTGAAACAGAAATCCAAAACTACATTGGAATAATGAAAGTTGCTTTCCAAAACCTAAGCAAAGTATTAAGAAATAGAAAAATTTAAATAAAAACAAAGAAAAGAGTACTGAACTGCTATATAATATCAGACCTATATGGCAGTGAATGCTGGACATTCGTCGCAAAAATGAAGACGAGATTTGAAGTAACAGAAATGTGGTCCTACAGAAAGATGGTAAGAATATGATGGATAGAACATGTGAGCAGTGACAGTTTAAAAAAGGAAAAAAAAAACTTAATATCAGAAAGAGAGTTGAAATTTCTAGGTCATATAATTAGGAAATAGGGCTTGGAGAATTTGATATTCACAGGACAGATTGAAGGCAAGAGGAACAGAGGAAAACAATACATAACCTAATTAGTGAGCTTAAGAAAAAGAGTGGTAGAACAGGATTTAGGAGAGATAACAAAAAGATAAAATTTCTTAAGAACTACAACGGACAGGAAACTGTGGAGAGCCATGATCACCAATGTCCTGAAGAGATATGGCACATAGAAGAAGATGTTGTCTGATTCTTCATCAACCAACATGTGTGCATTATGCCTTTTAATAACAGTCTATGAGGAGGTATTGAAATTTTTCTGACCTAACCAAGAAGGTATTCTGATATTTGAGACAGTGATGCTATGAAAATTTAACATCAAGCATTGCTATTGGATAGCTGAATGATGACAATATTCACTGCTATTGTGATGTCACTAATGTTCAAAGGTGTGTTAAGCATCATCAGCTGTGTGACACATAATAGAATAAAAGAATTACAGTTCAAGTAACCTGAAGTTTTTGCTACAGGTGAAATTTCTGGGACATATAATAACAAGAGATTTGGAAAATTTGACACTCACAGGACATCCTGGCGCCAGAGGGAAACAGCAAGTAACATACCTAACATGCTTGTGTCAATGAATGGCAGAACAGGGACTGAGAAATATAATAGAGAGACAAATGTTGCTTAGAGCTACAAAGGATAGGAAGTTATTGAAAGCTTTGATATCCCTCATCCTGAAGAGACATTGTATATAAAGGAAGAAGAATCAGTCAGATATCCAGTCTATGCTGAGAACAGTTTATTACAATCTTCACATATTATAACATTGATCATTAGAAAGAACAAAAATGTTGAATATGTAACACAGAAATAGATTGTTTTCAAAAAGAAACTGTATTGTAACAAAAGTATTAAACAAGTTAGAAAAAAATAATAAAAATTTATAGTTTCATAGGTTTAATAGATGAAGAATTCAGATTTAACAAAATTTAACAATGAATTAAATTATCAAAATAAAGTGACTAACTTGAATAATCTGCTAAAAATATACAAACAAACCAAATTCAAAACAATGTGGGAAAATTGATAATTCAGAAACCTTTTTGCTTCGGTTAATTCAGAAAGCGACAGATTGAGTCCATATTCTAAAATAGAAATTATTATTACTATTTTGATTACTCTTTTAAACTTTTCCAAACAGAACAGATTTCTAAATTTTTCCAGTCTTAAAATAACTTGAATTTAAATTCAATTTGTGCGTGATCTACACAACTCCTTAATACCATTTTTGATTAATGTATTCTTTTTTCTATGGTTTATCAACCCTTACATTTGAAAAAATATTTCATGGCTTCCTTATTTCAAGCCAGGAAATATTTTTAGAGTGTAAGAATTTTTTTTAATAATAAAGAAGAGTTGGATTCATACCTTTCCCAGTGGTATTTGCATGTAAGTGAATATAACAAACCCAACAGGAATTTGAACTTGGCTCTCTGATTAACAATTCTGAGTCATTATCCATTACATCACCTGCACGTCCAACCTTTCCCATGTGGTCACCCATCTAGGTACTGACCTGGCTCAACATTGCTTAACTTTGGTGATCATACAGGAACTGATGTTTCAACATGGTGTGACTGTAAGCTTTTTTCAGTCTTAAGTTAACTCAAATTTAAATTCGATATATGTGATATACAAAACTCCTCAAGACCATATTTATTTTGGTAGGATTATGCTTTGACAATTTCAAAGAAATATTTTTTCAGATTTTCCATGGTAACTAGATGCAATAAAATAACCTATCTGATAATCCTCAAACATTTCTGACCACTATTTTGTAACTACTTCCATTGGTCATAGCACTATTTCATCCTTTCTGATTCTATTGTTGTCTATGAGCTGATCGATAATGGTTCTTGCTGGTCTACCTCTTGATCTTTTTTCATAATTTTTTATATAAACTGAGACAAGCCTCTTGTTTACTTTTCCAGTAAATGACACTCATTGCTGAAAAATGTAAAATATATTGTAAATATAACTTCAAGCATGTTGCAGTTGGCCAGGTACTAGTCCTGTTGAAGTGCATGTTATCATCTGATCTAAGTTATTCCTATATTTTCTATGCTTCAAATTAATCATCAGAGTAAAGAATGGCTTACAAGTCCTCTGGGATACTAATAAATTTATGTATGCATTGTTGCTAAAGGAAAACTAGAAGTCTTACCAGGATTTATTATTGGTGGGTACAATTATTAACAGCATAAGATATGCAAATGACACTGTGCTGATGACAGACACAAAAAGAAAACTGCAGGAACTTGTAGATATAGTATTAAAGGAAAGTAGGAAGAAAGGCCTAACTCTCAATTGTAAGAAAACAGAATGTATATCTGTAAACAAGAGGAACCATCCAAGGTGCAAGCTATAACAGCTATTGATAGTCCTCAAGTGATGTTGTTTCTTTTATTTGGTTCAGTTCTTTCTTTGTGATTCTGTAGCACAAGGCAACAAGGTTGGAGAAAGAATGGTGTTTTGATGAGACCATGCTTCAATCACTAATTCATTTTTAAACATTGATCTGAGGAAGCAGCTGTATCTAGTTGACAGTTTAGATATTACTGAACAAGATTGACACTATGCATGGCATCCATATGAAAGTCTTGATCTAATGACTCAAGATTTTACATTAATATTTTCATTTAATTCCTGCTTACTTTTCTAACACTATTTTTAACTTGTACTTGCTTTATTTCTCTTTATGGAACATGTGACACTGAAATCCCAACAAGCATTGGATTAATGAATGATGCATTCCAAAAGCTAAACAAAATACAAAGGTAAAAATATTCTATTTCCTTAGAAACAAAGAAAAGAGTGCTGAACAGCTATTTAATATACTCCTCTTGTATTGCGGTGGATGCTGGACAATCTCCCCACAGATGAAGAGAAAAATGGAGACAGCAGAAATGTATATCTGCAGAAGGATGAAAATTCCATGTGTGAAGTAAGTAAGCAACAAGTACAACTTCTAGAAAATGGCGATAAAAAGAACACATACTCAGGAATGGAAGGAGTTGAAATTTCTTTGACACATAATCAGGAAGGAAGGCTTGGATAACGTGACCCTCAAAGGGCATATCAAGAGCAAGAGAGATAGGAAAGCAATAAGCCACCTTCCTGATGAGCTTGTGTGAATAAATAGTTGACAAGGGGTACAGAAAACTTGGCAAAGAATCGCTATTAAGCGCCACAAGGGATAAGAAGCTGTGGGGAGCCACTCTAACACACATGCTGAAGGGTTAAGTCATAGGAAGAAGTCTCTATGTTATCAGATTATCTATCAAATTAAATATAAAATCATGGAGGGTCTGTTTTCTTTTCTCATGTTTCCTCTTTTTATATTTGTCCCAATTTGCACTAATAAGATTCATTTCAGGTATATTTAAAGGGAAAATGAAGTTCTTTGCTCAATCAAGAAGGGAGTATCATTCAAATAAAAATTCTGATTTCTTATCATTTGATTACATTTTGGAAAACTGATGGAGCAGTGAATTTACAGTACCTACTCATATATAAAATGATAAAATTATCATCTAAATTATGCAAAAATAAAATAACACTGGCATCTCATTTTAACAGATATATTTACCAAAATTACATAAAAATATCTTGAAATAGTAAAGGGTAGATTTATTCAATAAAATTGCCGTTGGCTTCAACCCTGGCCTCTAAACAACTTCGGAATCTTTTGCATCTCTTTTGGATAGTCTCCTTTCCTTTAATTCATCTTTGGTGTTACAAGTATTTTTGTTGGTCTCTCACTCAACTGCACCCCATACATAATAATCAAGGGAGTTGCAGTCTGGGGAGTTAGGTGGCCAGATGTAATGGGTGATGTGGTCACAAAAATTGTTTGATAGCTATGACTGGGTTCACCTGTTTGTGTGGCATAGTGCAGAGTTCTTTTGCCAGGCATAGGGTCTTCCAGCAGCCACCAACATGACCCAAGGCATCACTACTTCCTCAAGGCACTTGATATAGGCCTCTGTGTTGAGTCTGAGGCCCTCACCTACAAATTTGTGAGTTCTTTTCTTATCAGAATGATCAAAGTGAGTTTTTTGAGTTGCCATACCTTCATAATCACCATTAGACTCATCCAACTCTTTCTGAATCTTCTGCATTGTCCTCAGATTGATACCCAAACACTCCGAATGCCAAGCAGTACAACATGCCATTTCCAAATTCTAGCACAGTCAATTACATCATGGTGCACTTTTTTATCACAGACAGTGCCCAACTGACCCGACTATACAGTGCAGTTGACAAAATCAAAAACGAACATATGCAAAATTAAAAATATAAAATGTCAATAATTTACCAATCACACCCTCTATATTTTCGGTTAATATCCTGAACATAAATAAATATACTGTTTAAAAAATAAATGGAGCCTCTATTTAATATGAGTGTCCACTAAAAATAATGTGTAAAGTGATAATAAGTATATATATATATATATATATATATATATATATTTGTATCGAGCACTATTTTTTAAGAATAATAACAAAAATACTAAAGAACTGTGGATTATTTACCTAACGGGTTCTTTCCTATTTTCTATATATTTTTACACACACACACACACATATATATATATATATATATATATATATGTGTGTGTAGAGGGGGGAGGGGGGTTAATAAAATTCAACTTTGCATAATGACTGTCAGTTTCACACCTTATACAATCATGAAACTATGCCGTGTTGATTTTTATATCTACACAATTATATATATAGACAAATCTTTATGTAAAAGCAGATTCTTTCATTAAATAGCCTACAGACAAATCAGACTGAAAACACTGGTTCTCATTCAATCACTGAAGTTAAACAGCATCAAGCACGGTCAGTATTTAGATGGGGGATTACTTTGAAATAGCAGGTAGTGAATGTAACCTCAACAAACCAAAGTATATTTCAGCTTTAAATAACCCACAGATGGTTGATAAGCCTTAAAAAAGAAATCACTCAATTGATCCTTCTTTAAATGAAAAGGAAATGTATAAAATCAAATTGAACATTTGAATAAAACATTGCTTGAGGACCCGAGTTTTTATTACTTTTTGTGTGCATACATGTATCATTTAATACAATTTATTTATGGTTACTGAAATCTACTACAAAAATGTATCTTGTTCAGAGCTATTTCATTCTTTGTTTCAAATTGCTTTTATCCACCAGAATTGAAGTTAAAGTTATATCTGTCTTTATTTATAATCCTCTTGACAATGATGAGAAAAAAAATCTTGAGCCACTAAGAATAAAGAAAGGCATGGAAATAAAGAATAAAATAACCTCCTCCTCAAATTGAAAACATAGACAATCAGCAAAAATCCCATTCATTCTTTTCCTTTTATTGATGGTCTGAAATGTGTTGCAAGTGACTTTATTACTTTTAAGACTTTGGCTCCCACTGTTTTCAATCTTATTCAAAAAGTAAAATGACACAGGCAAAAACTGACACAGTTTTCTAGTCAGATTATTGAGGAAGCAGTCATGGTTAAGCAGAATTGACAAAATTATCAATAACAATAAGGATAGAAAGAAGAACAGGGTAAAATAATATGAGATGAGACAATATAATGTAAACCAAAGCAAAACATCTCTAAGACAATAACAAAGTGAAAAGTTCACAAAATAGAAATAGTGTTCACACACAAAAGGGATACAGTCAAGTGGTTATAACCTTCTGACATCAAGGCAAGAAAGAAAAAGTCTCTGGGTAAAACTGAGAATTGTCCATTTTTATTGGCTAGAAATAAATCCCAGCATGCATCTGTAGGATTTGTCTATAATTTTGGCAGGGGTAGCAGTCATCTCCTGATATTGCAAACATTGCAGATATTTCTTTTTCTTTTGCATAACCCATCTTTCATTTTGGTTACTTTTTGTTTTGCAAACCATGTTTGCTATGGCTTTTATTACTTTTATCTTCTTTCAAATTAATATATGTAAACATGCTGTCTGTATCTCTTTTTGTCCTTGGAAGTCATCAATTAGACAACAGGATAACAAATATCACCTATCCCCAAAACTGAGAAATATTCAATGTCTCAAATCTCAATAGCTCAAAGCTCTTGTCCTTCCATTCCTCTTTCTTGTGTCACTTGATTAGATTTTTTCTTAAAGGCAATCTTGTGATCTTCACAAATAACACCTGCATGACTCCAAATCTGATCACTGGAGCTCAGGCTATTTTATTCAGTCAAAGTGAATACATTACTTTATGATAGTGTTTTTGGCAAATTTTCTTCATGTTCCTCTTTTCACATCTGTCACAATTTGTTTCAGCTGCTCACATTCATTTCAGGTGTATATGAAGAAAAAAATGAAAAGTATTTAGCCTAAGAAGGGAATCCAAACAAAAATTCTGATGCCTGATCATTTGGTTAGATTTTGTGAAGTTAGGTAGAGAAATTTTGCAGTACTTCATCTTGGATATATGTGTAGCTAGATAAGTAGATAGTATGGACAAAGAATTCAACACTGCATGGTGACTAGCAATTACATGCTTTATGCAATTATCAGAATTTGAAATGCCACTCATCATGCTGTATTGATTTCTATGTCCACATTTT